TCCAGGGAGAACAGTTTAGGGAACTGCAGTCGTCTTGATTATATTTTTGAGCAGTCACACTTGTGCGCCCTTGTGTGTTTTTCTCCCCCTAATTACTATTGAACATACTGAGCAGTATCTGCCAGCTTCAGCTGAGAGCAGGGTTTTCAACCGTATGAGTTTTCCACTGGTTTTGGAAAATCAGTAGCCGGTTATTGAAGAGAAGCATGGATTATTGAAGGAAAAGATGCACTGAGGCCCCAGCAGGCTTTTACGCATTTGGGCTTGCTATCACCTGGTTGTCATACGTGTATCATCATCACATAGTCATGGCCAGACAGAAGGTGTGTACAGCTTAGCTGTTCTAGGGACCCAAAGGCCTGGTACTGTGTATGTAGCCCAGAGTCTTGTCCGGAGGGGAGCAAGGGGACAAATGCAGAAGTGCAAGGTACCGTCTGAAGAGGAGGAGAGCTGGAGGCAGTGCAGAAACAGGTCTTAGTAGAAAAGCTTGAGCTTATGACACTGAAACAAAGACCATAAACCCAGGCCATACCAGTGCTACTACTTTTTTCTGGTTACTATCATTCAGCTGTTTTGGGATCAGTCTTAATTACAGTGTAGCTGTGTGTTAAATTGCAGCATAAGGATTCAGTGTCAAAACCGTAAGACAGTCTGAGGATCACGCTCCATGCCCCACTTTCCTTCCTGCATACACATCCTGCACAGGACTGCATTCACCTTGGCATCACGCTGCTTGCAGTGTTTGTGAGACATGGCAGGAGAAAGGCCTCTGTGCTGAGCATCCGGGACTGCCTCCATGGGGAGCCCTGCACCTGAAAGGGTCTTTTTTGTCTCAGCAACAGCCCGATTTGTTCCTTTTCATCTCTTATGGTCCTGTTGTCTATGAATGCCTTGTATTCCTTTGTTCCTCTCTCTTTCCCACTGCGATGAGTGTCTGCTGTTCGGATTTGTAGAGGCTTACACATGTCTGTGTCTACATCAGTATGCTCCAGAGTGCCTGAGAACGTTCCTGGGCACTGGGGCACTGTCATCTGCCCTGTTCATAAGTTCTTAGCCTCTTCCCTGGTGTGTGCTCAGCCCGTACCAGACTGCCAGTTGGAAATCCCCCAAAATACTCTCAGGCATGGCTGGGGGATTAGAAACTTCCAGAGACGCACGCTTTTCCACAGGATTCCATTTGCCTGCAGCTATCCTGTTTTGAAGGTTGATAGACTTTACTAGCACAGGCCACGCGCTGTGTGCCAGGTGCCTGCGATGGCTAGGAACATTCCTGAGCACGGTTAGTTTGCTCGCCTGGACCTCTAGCAGAACTGGGTGAGCTTGGAAGTGTGTGCACACCCTCATACATGCAATGTAAGGCTGTTTCAAGAAGAGGAAGGCATCAAGCCTTTGAAGAAAATCAGCCCTGTTCCAGCCCTATTCCCTAGATTTGTACAAACTAGTGTAACTAGTGTACAAGCCAGTACCTGTCCCACCCCTGAAAACCTGGGCAAACTAGTGTAACTCCGCTGATTCTCAGCAAACTGGTGTTTTTTTCCCTTTGCAGTTCGAACATGTCCTAAACTTCAGGCTCCTGAAAACGGACACATAAATTGTTCAACGGCTGATATCTCCTATAAGACAGTATGTTTTGTGACCTGCAATGAGGGCTATGAAATAGAAGGAAACGCCAAACTCACCTGCCAGGGAACCTCACAGTGGGATTCGAAGGAGCCAAAGTGTGTGGGTAGGTATCTTTTCGTACTCTGTCCGTCTGTTCATGTCAGAGTGCAGCCTTTCCTGACATGCTGTCACGAGTGAGAAACTCTCCCTATTTTGCTACCTGGTGAAGCTAAGATAGGAGTGAGGATTTGGCTATGAATGTTTTATACAGGTCTTAAAAGTTGGAGAGGGGCAAATGAGTTTGTAAATGGAGAAAGAACAACCTGTGTGTCCGCACAGACAGCTGATAACCGAAAGGTTGTTGCATCTGGTGAGTGTTAAGACACTGTCACACACTGCGTTGTAGGAAACCTGCAAGCTGTATGTCTATACCACGGATTAATGTGAACAAGCAGGCATTTGAGCTACCATCTTAAAGCTGAATATGACCTCCAGAAAAGGACTAAGGTATGGTAGCCAGGCACTGTGAGTGCTGAGTAGAGGTTGTGACAGTTGTCACTTTTGTGGAACTCCCACCAGGAAGTAAGAGTTTAGGCAAGTTAGGGACCAAGCACCTCTAAGGCAGGATTCAGAGGTCACACCAGCAGTGCAGGGATAGGTAAGCATATACTGCTGTTCCAGAAGTAACGGATTGTACATTTCAGAAGTACCCATTTAGGACTAGTGACAGGTATTAAATTAACTTAGAAAGGTAAGAGGAAGAAATACAGTTGAAACACTTCCAAGGGTAGACTGCAAAAAAAAAAAAAGCACCATCTTAAAGTCCAGCAATTCAGATGCTGAACCAGTGCTGATGAAAGTCACGGTGAAGTATATGTCACCTGGGTCCAGTAAATGTGATGCCAGTAAGATGAATTGGCTCAAATCTGTGGCTATTTTTTGCTGTTTTATTGCAGGCTTAAAAATATGGACTTTGTGTGAGGCAAGAATAAACTTGTAACTGTAGATGTGTTCTCTAAAATGGTGAAAATAATCCACAAGTACTAATTTATCAAGAGAGTTTGTTAAGAGATCCTAATCTTTCTTCTGTTGAAGTCAGTGGAAAAACTTCAATTAACTTCAAAAGGAAGGGACCCTGAAATCCTGTTGGAAGATTATAATTGGAAGATTAACTGTATTCATCAGTTGAATTCATCCTTCCTAGCTTAGCATTTTGATTATTAAAATCCAGCTCTACTCTGTATCAGAAGATTTCTTCACACCATGCAATATTGCTTCCATTCCTAGATTACTCATGGCAATAGCTTATTTTTGCTGAGTCTGAAAATCTAGTATATATAGTATAAAAGTTACCTCTGATTGTCACAGAAGGAAGAGTGTTAGCTGGAAAATGTCTCTGCTGTTTCTTCTTGTGACCGGTGTTTAGAACAAGGTTGCTGAGACTCTTGTTCAATACAGAGTGTGGAGTTTTATTCAGGGAAGGATGCAAATCAGAAGACTAATTATCATATCCTCCTCAAAAACTACCCTTTGTGCTCATTTTGTGAATGTTCATCATTATCATGGAGGTATTCTCTGTTTATTTTTAGTCAGAACAGCTCCTAACTATTATTTATCATCTGCTACATAAAAGATACCAGAAATCCTGCTGTATTTAGGCATCACTAATTGATGATTTATTAATTTCCTACCGTTCTGTTAGAAAATAAAGTGGAATCACGTTCAGTTTCTTACCTTGAAACAGATTTCTTGGACCTCAGGGTACTCTCCCAGCTCTTTTTATGAATGCTTTTCAGTTCGGGTGCCCATCAGCACAAAGTTCACCATATTTAAAAGTTAGCGCACTGAGACTGTACAACAACCAGCTGTAACCATTATTGACACCGTAATAACATAGCCTGGGTTGTTTACAGTCACTTCTGTGAGGTCTGTTGTCATATGCATCTTTTTCCAAGAGACTGGAAGTTTATGCAAGTTTGGCTGTTCCATATGTTTTAAATTTTGAAGTTTTTCATGAAAGATGCTGTTAGCAATGAGTTACTTTTGAGTAGGTTACATATATTATAGATGGCTTAAAGCAAAATATCTGCTGAAAAGGGAAGCTTTGTCATTTGTCCAATTTGAAAAAAAAAATTCCACAGCGATGTTCCTGTGTTTCCTTCCCCGTTGGTGAAAGATTAGTACCTAGCACGTTAAAATTAACGAATTTTGCAAGATACTGTTCTCCTTGTTTTGTTCCAGCTTTAGTGAAGAAAGGTAAAAATACAGATGGCATCCAGGGTGTTGATGCCACCTAGTGCTGAAAGAATTACTACTCCACACTTCCACTTGCAGTTGGCCAATTCTTTCCCTTAAGCATTGTGTTTGCAAAGGGATTGAAGGAAAGAGGCATGATTTGCTTGGTAATCTTTTCTTTTATTACAATACTGAAGTTTCTCTTGATGTTAAGAATTATAATACAGTGTTATGGTTCATCACAGGCAGTTGCAGATGAAAGCAGATTCTTGTCTCTCTGTAGAAGTACTTTTTTGCTCTCTGTTAAATCCCTATCCATATGACTAATATCATGGATATCACTCTGCTCCTCAGGACTTCATGGGTCAGCTTGATCAAATTCTGGAATTGAGCACAAATTAAAAAAGCTAAACGACACTATTACTTTTTTTTTTTTTCTGCTAAAAACCTGTCCCACTTAGAAGACAGCTAGATATACCAAAGGTTGTCCTGAAGGTTTGTCAGATATTTCAGGATTGAGCTCTACTACGATTTTTCTAGTATTGTTGGAAGCATCTCAACCAGGAGGGTTGTTACTGCTTCCCAAAGAGCTGCAGTTTTCTAGTTTTTTTGCTTACACCTTTCACAGCCTTTCCACTACTTGTTCCCTTAGTAGTATGCATCTTAATGCTTTTAGCTTGTCTTTTCAAACATCATTTTTTCCAATTTCTGATCTTTTTGCTATTTGTCACTTACCTTCCTGTGGTGAGCAACCAAACCTTAGGGTTTTTTTTTTCTGATGGAGCTGTTCTACATTGCATAGTCAGCAGTGTCTGCCTGAAGTGAACAAATGTGTTAACACTTGTGATCTTTGCATCCTGTTGAAATGATGCAGTTATTAATTGCTTGGACTTTAAACAGAATTTCAGTATTGAGAGTTTAAAGTGCAAGAAGTACTTAGAACGCTTAGACTCTTTAAATTTTGATTCATGCAGAAGAACTGCATATTTTGGGAGAGGAGAGGAAAGGGATGTGAAGCATTCTGAATGTGAATCACTTCTGTGTCATTAAACCAGTGCTAAGAGATAAACAGAGCTTTCTTTTCTGTAGCTGGGTTGTGTTGTTCTTTGTGTGCCCCTTGTGTGAAGTCCTGTCTGATTTCCTCACTGGCTAGCTAAAGAGTTACAAGTCTTCTCATTGGCTATAAATAATTAAGTGGTTTTCTTTGTGTTTGTCTATTATCTGTAGTAAGAAACAACTGAAAGTCTAGAGAACTGCATTTGTGGGATACCCCTTTTTGCCCTGTTTAACACCTCCATGTTTGAAGTAAAAATAACATTCCTTGGCTCACAAGGTAAAAACAACAGCTCAAAAATGAAACACAGCTTTTGTGACGATTGAACCTGGTTACGCACATTGTGGTTTTTGGAAGTTTAGACTTTGATGCAAATAGTCTTTATAATTTGCAGTGAATTCTAGTAATAAAATAGTTCAGAACTTCCATTTTAAGCCTTTAAGCAACCATCAGCTGCCACTTATGGTCACCCCAGGTCTTTGCATCTGTGTTTGAGCACAGGCAAGACCAAGACCAATTTCATTCAGTTTGAAATGTGGTAGGCAACATTACATGCCATGTTCCTAACCTACAGTGAGCTCGTGGCCGGGTGTCCTTTTTCTTCTCTCCTTCTTATTTCAAGAGATAGTGTAAAATCTATAGAAGGCAACAGATACAAGACTCATAAAAATTCTGTATATTTTGTGTTCCCTCTGAGTTGCCATATAATTTTATTTGCAGATTTTTTTGAATGTATACTTTGTGTACATCACTTAAAAGACATGTCCTACTGATGTCTTGTAGAAATGCGTTGCCCCATCCTCCAGAAACCATCAGGTGTAACAATTCTCCCTCCCAGATGTGGGCTGCAGCCTGCCGTTTCTGGGACTGTGTGCCAGCTGAGCTGTCCCCAAGGATTCATCTTGTCTGGAGCAAGAGAAGAACTAAGGTGCATTTCATTTGGGAGATGGAGTGCAAACATCCAGGAGGCTCAGTGTAAAGGTAGAGACCAGCACAAAATCATTTCTGTGTACATGTGTGCAGGACTGAAGGGAAGCAGACAGCAAATAATTGAGTGAGGACGGGTTTGAACTGGGGAAAGCAAGATTTAAACAGTCTGTAAAAAGTGTTGCATGTGCCGTTATAGCTTGGTTGTCAGATTTACTTGTAGTTTGAAATAAAAATGTGGAGTTCAGAGATTGCTTCAGTGCCATCTGATAGTGGTCATCATCAACTGTCTCTCCTCGGATCCATCTCACAAGTCTGCTGTTGGGAAGCTGCCTTCTAAAAGGCCTGATGTGCAGGTAAATCCAAAATTTCAAAGTAAAAGTGAAAGCTCTTAGCTTAAAGATAGCCAAAGTGGAACCCACACTCCTAGTAAAAAAACAGTGATAGTAATACTGTAAGTGGTTTAGCACAGGTTTATGTAGGCCCTGTAGTCAGAGCAAATCTGTAAACACTGTGTGAACCCGGGCTGATAGACAGACTATAGCGGGATGGTTCATGTCAGTTGTCTTTGAACTGACTATGGCTGTTGACATGCGCCAAGCAACAATACACAAGAGTGAAGGCCAAAATTGGCTGACACAAGTGCAGAGTATAAAGATGGCAGACGATGGTTACGTGTATTTGAGTATGGTTCTGCCATGTTTACCCACCTCTTCTAGAAATGTTGGGTTATTTATTCCCTTACACACATGCATATTGAGTTGGAAGGAGTTTGGCTTTGCGTTATAGGAGGATAGAAGCAAAAGTGCAGTTTGTCTGAGAATATGCTATTCACCTCTTCATGAACTATTGTGCTCCTAGAACTAATGCTTTCACCCCAAACTGGGGCCCTCGCCAGCCACTGGGTGAAAGAACAGTACAGAAAATAGTTACAGCAGTCATCATGCCAGGTCACTTCAGAAACTGAGGTGGGAACTTTTTTCCCTGTAATGGCCAGGAAGATTTTATCCCTCTCTTTAAACATATTATTTCCCACTCTGTGATGTACAACATATTGTTTTTCTGAATCTTTTATGTAAACCTATGCCAAACCACAGTTTTTAATATTTGATGGGATCCCAGAACAAGGCTACAAGCAGAAGTGCTTGGGCCAAGATAAAGCAGAATGGCTTGGGTTCAAGCTTTTAGATATTACCAGTGCATAAAACCCTAAAAGAGGCACCAAGAAACTCTGAAGGTTATTCTTCTCTAGTAAAAAGGAACAGTTGCATTTCAATTGCTTTCATTCTTGTTATTGTTTCTCTCTATTTTGCTGCCAACATATTTGGCCAATTCAAAATAGCCATTTTCTTTCTGACTTATTTATTAGTCTTCTTACAGAGTTTCACTTTTAATGGAATTTGCCCCAGTCTGAAGGCTGTGGCCAGGGGATTGTGAACCATAACTAATAGTTATTGAGAAGAGTGCATTTCTAATAAAATTTTCATCAGAATGAGTTCAGAGGAAGGCAAAATCACTTGTATTTATTACTTTGCACTCTTAATTACAGAGGTTTAATTGCCTGAGTTATATCTTTACCAGGACTATTTAGTAATAAAAATATAAGTGATATCAGTTCTGAGCTGTTTTAAAGCCTCCTGGGCATAGAGGAGTTCAGAGCTGAATGCATCCTTGTCTCATGAGTCTAGAGGCTATTTATCAAACAACACTACAGCAATAAAATAACCTGACCACAAATGTTTTGGGAGGCTCCATGCCAGGGAGATGAGGAAGTACTTTAAGTTTGTCAGAGAAACTTGAGGCTTAAATGTTGATGGTGATATTACCCATATTGTGCCACAAGTCCTTTCAAACTACCCAGCATTGTCACATATGTCACAAGAAGACTCCATTTGTCCTACATAATACCTTGTAGCAGGAGTTCATTGAGGAACATTTAAAGCAGCTGGTGCCAGAAATCTTGCCATTGTTTCTTCCATGTGGGTTCCACACCATGCTCCAGGGAATTTGAGAGTCACTACTCTCTTGTTTATAGTACATTTACCATGTCACAAATAGTGGAGTTTTTTTAAGTCACTGATTATTAGAAACAAGTGTTTTCACGTGTGTGTGTCGTGTGTGTGCGCAGTGAAAGGATAGAGAAGCCATTCCTTCTTAATGAGTGTGTGTGTATAATGACTGGATGAATAATAAGAGAAACAAGTTCAGTCTGTCTTACTTATTCATTGTTTTATGGTTGTATGTAGAAACCAGAGTCTCATTGTGCTCAGTGATATACAAAAATAGTCACTTCCCCAGGGGAATTTACTGTTTATGTATGAGCCTGTAGGCAAGAATCCAAAAGGGGCAGAGACAGAAATTGTGCAAAAATGTGTGTATTTATATTCCAGGCAGCACAAAAAACAGTGGTTATAACAAGTTGCAGTCTAACCATTATAAAGTTTTTATTTCTATTATCACACATATAAAACTAATTTGTCTTTTTCTGGATCAGATATTGAAGCTCCTCGGATCCACTGTCCAGAAAATATCGAGGCTGAGACTCTGGAACATTATAACTCTGCTAATATCAGCTGGCAGATACCAACAGCTGAGGATAACTCTGGAGATGAGGCAAGTTAAAATCTATACATTTGACTGGAGGTAGTCTTTTTTTAGCTAGCAATTTCAAATTAATTTTAGAATGTTTTTCTTGTGACAACCAGGAGTAGAAGAAAAATCTGCAGAAAAGTTTGTACCTTGAGAATTCAGCATTTTCTGTCTTGGTTAGTGTTGTGCAGTCACAGGACACTCTGCATGGTGTTTAAGTGCATAAAATCTCATATGGTTAATTTATATGGTCAAAAGAAAGAATGTGCCCTTGTTTATAAGACGGAGACAGCTGTTTTAAAAATGAGCTCTTAGAATGTGAAGAAGTTTAATAAACTCTTCTCAGAAGGAAGTAAACCAGTTCATTAATCTAAAAGGCTAACAAGAACATACTGTGATAAGTAAAAGCTCATTTCAGCTTCCCAAGCGAGAAAGAAAAATCTCATTTTCCTATCCGATGCAAGACTCAGATGCAGGCCCTTGGCTACTATGCGTGTCAGAGCTCTGGAGATGGAGTTAGAAGGAAAACTTGCTCCAGAGCTGTTCATAAAGAGTTACATTCCCTACAGGCTCAGACATGATCAAGTTACAGCAGTTACAGCAACCGAGTATTTTGTCATGAGTCAGCAGAGGAACAGTGACTCTGTGTGTGCTTTTAATTTGCTGCGAACACAGGCGGTTTTGCACTTGGCAACTAAGCAATCCTAGTAAAAGAGGTTCAAGTTCACACGTCTTTTGCTGTAGCGTAGCCATACTCAGGTACTGTAGCTCTGCTGACACAGGGTCATTCATTGAACTGTAGGAACCAAGTGCTTAGCTCTTAGTCGTAGCTGGTTTGTCAAAGCCACGGTTGTCAGATAAACTGCTTTGTTTACGTGAAACCAGTTCTTCTAAAGAGAAGTTCTTTAAGACAGTTCTAACCCATATGAAAGATCCATAGACGGCACGTAAGTGTCGTTTACTCCAAATGTAGGGTTCCTTTGCCATGCCATAATGTTTTGAAGCATCTGTGGGCTATTGACTCATAAACATAATGAGTCCATATTAAAATTGGATATGTCAGTACTTATAGCCCACAACTGTCTGCTCCGACCATCTCCCAGATCTGCTGCCCTTGCAGCTGAAGAGCTGAACTGCAGACAAAAGCAGGTTCTGAGCTGGCAAAGTGTGTGTCCAGTGCCGTGAGGCAAACAAGAGTCAGTCTTGAGTTTTCTTTATGCACATTGCTGTAAAGTGCAGCAGGTTGGGGTCCAAACTGTGACTGAGTAAATCCCTGTTGCCATAAAGAAGGTATTCTTGAGAAGGCTAGCAGAGCACTCTGTTGCGAAGTCCTCCCTCATTACTTGAAGAGGCTATTTGCATTAAAAGTGACTAGGGTTGACATTGAAGGATACTTTTTGTGGTCATTCCCTGAAACATGAGTGTCATGATTACTAACCAGCTTTGTTTTTTAAATAACAAATGTTTTCCTATAAAAGGTCTCAGTTCACGTTACCCCAGCTTTCATACCACCATTTCTTCTCCCAATCGGTGAAGTTGCCATTACTTACACAGCAGCTGATAAGTCGGGCAATGAGGCAAGCTGTACATTCTGTGTCAAGGTTATTGGTAAGTGCTGCTAAAAATCACTGGGGAAGAGTCTCTCATGGTTGAAACCTTCTAATTTTGTGCAGAAATAGACTATGAGTCACTGTGGCCATTACGTGTGCAGGTATAAGCCCAGGAGTAATACCATTTTAATAAATGCTTTGCTGATCTTGGGTCATAGTTTGCGTAGTGTGCAGTCATTGTTCCCAGATGTTCAGTTTAAGTTTTGTTCTGCTGTTCATTCTGAATGTTAAGATTTCTCCACAGAGTGGTAGATTAAATGCCTTATTGTGTTGTCACTTATTGCCTTCATCGTATGTTTTTTTTTCCTTCTTGAATGACTCCAACAAAATTTCCAAGGTTCCCCCACATCACCGATGCAAATACATTGTTCGAGTATTTCTGTCAGACAGTTGTGTTATTCAGCAGTCCTGTTAAACAAGGTTTGCTCTCTAGAAGGCAAACAGAATGTAGAAACCATGAGTTCAGCAGAAGAATGTCTTGTCCATTCCCTCAGCATCTACCAGTTGCAGCAGCTTACAAGTGTGCTACCTAACTTTGTTGTATCTTCTGATGTGAACTTAAAACTGTTGTTCACCTGACTTCTAATTATAGATTTCATTTGAGTGTGGTGGCAGTTCAGTAAGCTAATGTCATGCCATCCCTTCAAATTCTGCAGATGCAGAACCTCCTGTAATTGACAGATGCAGATCTCCACCACCCATGCAAGCAGCAGAGAATGAGTACCCAGCAACATGGGAAGAACCGCAATTTTCAGACAACTCAGGTGAGATAGTGCACCCCAAAACATGCATGCAACATTGGAAGCATAGAGAACTCCAACCTGTTCACCCTTGATCCCTTAGAGTTTAAGATTTTTTGAGGGTTTTTACTTATTTAAGAACATACAATTTGGAAGACCTGCTGCCATTTCCTTCTCCATTTGTCAAGGTTGGGTGTGAGTAAACCTCTCTCACTTACTGGTGTTTTAGGTTGTCTTTTAACTCTTCTAGGTGCTCCACTGACTGTCTTTAGGAGTCATGCACCTGGAGATCTTTTTCCCAAAGGAGAGACAACAGTTCAATACACAGCCGTGGATCCCTCTGGCAATAACAGGACATGTGAGATCCACATTATCATCAAAGGTTTGTTTCTTAGTCTTCTCATCAAGAGTGTATGGCATTGTTTTAACTGGATATCATAAAGAATGCAATGCTACTCCACTTTTTCATTTAGTCTCCACTTTTTCTTTTAGTTACTCCCATTTTATATTGTAGTAACTTGAAGGTAGTCAGGATATTTATTAGTACCAATGAATAAACTGCCTAAGACTGAAGCAGCACAGCAGTGAATTTGGTCCTATAAATTAAAATTAGGTGTAAAAGCTCTGAAATTGTGATTCATTGGTAATGGATCCATTTGTTTCTCAGTGACAGATACCATATGAAACGAATTAATAGGTGTTTACTGAAGTCTTCAAATCTTAGTTAAAAAGAAACCTTTGTGGAAATATTTCTGTAATCACCTACAAATATTGTAGTAGATACTAGAACACTCTTTATATTTTAGAAGTTGCCTGTGCCTATAGATGTACTAGTGCATTTGTGCGTGTTGCATAGACACCTTTCCCCACAGTTCACTTTCTTCTTTATGAAGTTGTTAAGTATTGGATGAAAATTCTACTTCATCTCTGCTTTCTAGTGCTTATGTCTCAGTTGGACATCTGTATTAAAAAATCTGTTAGTGAAGAAAGCATTTAAAATCATGCAAACTGCAATTTTGGTTATAGCTTTTAGAAAAGGTAAGCTACACATGGATGTGCTAATTTCTGATTTGCTGTAAATCTTAGCAAGAACAAGCCAGTACTTAGAATTGGTATTATTTCAAGTTCTACAGCACCTCAGACTTTTTGTGGTTCAGTGTTTGTGACATAATGTTTTCAGACGTTCACAACCTCCTTCACAATTGGGCTGTAAAATAATCCATAACTGAAGTTTTACAGTCAGTGCTTCCTAAAATGATTCTGCCAAGTCCATGTGTTGTTGCAATAGTGCAGAATGGATAATGCTTAGTTTCAGAGTTAAGTTGTAAGATGGTTTGCTAAGAATCTATTGTATGAAAGTTCATGTAAAAATTTAGATTAATGTTTTGTATTGTTTTAGTAAGTACATGCTTGAGCATGTACCTTTGCAGAAGTAGTACAGAAGGATTTGCGTCTTGCATTTCTGAGTATCACAATTTTTTTTAAGTCTTCATGTTTATGGATTTCAAATTGCAGTGGCATAGTTTGAGAATAAGTTAACAGTAGCCTGATCCTGCCTGTACGGAAGTAACAAATAATACTTTCACAGACTTCAACAGAGGCAAGATCAGGTTGATACTAAGTGCTTTTGGAAGCCCTATCAGTGCTGTTTTCCTGTGTGCTTGCTTACTTCACCGCATTCATCAATATAAAAATCTTTGTATTTTTCATAGGTTCTCCTTGTGAAGTCTCCTTTCAGCCTGTGAATGGTGATTTTACATGCACTTCAGATGAAGCAGGAGTTAATTGCACATTGCACTGTGCAGAGGGTTATAGCTTTTCAGAAGGAACAAGTGAAAACTACTATTGTGCATATGAGGATGGTGTCTGGAAGCCACCTTATTCTCCAGAGTGGCCTGGCTGCTCTTGTAAGTCTCTCTGTTACTAAAATGAATCTGCAACTCATAGAACACTCTATGTCTAATGAGGAAGTAAACAAAAATGTTTTAGAAAGTATTACTTCTATTTAGTGATAACAAATCTTCTCTGTCCTCTGCATTCAAATTGCTACAAATACTGTGAAAGAATGCCTGGACGTCGCTAAATGTGTTATTTCAGAAGCTGTCTAAAACACAAAAATTTGAATCCCAGGAATTGCAAAATAGCAAAGATGGCAAAGTAGGCAAGGTCCGTCACTATTTTGAATTGGTATTTGAAACGGTTTGTTTACAAACACTAACAGTGGCTTTTCAGTAGGAATGTCAACAGTATTTGCAACGTATCAATCCAAGTGCACAGTGCGTGCTGTCCTTACATACCTAATTATCACCAAATTAGGAGCATTTATGTATTTTCTTTGAGATGGACACATGCAACACTTCAGCTGTGGAATTTCCCAGCTTTGGTGATATTTTAATAATAAACATATTAGAGCTACATATGAAGCCAGTCGTGGCACCATGTAGCATCCATTTACATCAGAGTGGATTTTTTGGTTTCAGCAAACAAGAGTAGTGTTTCAGCTATGATCAAATGAAAGGTATGTTTCCGAGCCATCTAGCAATTCAAAATCTGTAACTTGAACACTTAGGAACTTCGATTTGCTTGAATTCTGGATGAGAATTTTTCATATTTAGCCTAGCAGCATTACTAAGAAGACTTCCAATATTTATTGCTTCTCTCTCAGTAACAAGCAAGTGTGGAGTTTAGTTGACAGCTCGCAGGTTTCTTCCATTAATAAAATGCTAAAATAGAAAAATTACAAACTTTTTCTTAATGTCTGTTAGCTTTCCCAATAAATGTAGTGCCTGCCAAAGGGCTATATTCAGCTGTATTGGCTGAAGTATGAGTGATCCATTTTCATGTATACAACACTGGGAATTTAGGTTGCTGATTTAAAGACAATGCATCTTAGCTTAGTAATTCCAGTTTTAGCCTGAACAATCTTGCTTTTAGCTCTGAAACTGTTGAACTGATCAGTAAAAGTTTATTTCTCCAACATTTTTCAGTAAATCGTTTTGCTAACCACGGGTTCAAATCCTTTGAGATGTTCTACAAAGCAACACGGTGTGATGACAACAATCTTCTACATAGCTTTACTGATGCGTTCCAAAGTGCGCTTGGTAAAATGGTAGGTTAGTAAATACTCCTTCCTTTTACACACTTTTTAAAAATATACCTCATTGTTACTTTTCCCAGCTAACTAATTTCGTTCGAGGAAAATATAACAGAAACCCATAAATGAAATTTGTGCTTTTTCAGAAGATGACGAGTCCCCTTTAAAAATAAAGATGATTCACTGGTATTTTAATGTAATTCATTCAGTCTTCAACGTGGAGTTTCACAGGACAGAATTTATAGAAATGTGCAAGTAGCTTAGGGACTTGGCACTCATAGATTTTCATAGGCTTCCAAAGAGAATCTGTATAGTTTTGAAAACCCCAGTCAATTGTTCGCTAACCTCAGTGTTGTTTTTAAAAGTTGGGTGTGATTATAAAATATATGTACTTTACATAGAATATGTATAGCATATATCCATATAATATAAACTAATATACCTGTTATACAACTAGATAAATTCCACATTTGATGCCTAAGCCATAGAATCATAGAATAATTTGGGTTGGAAGAGACCTTTAAAGGACCTTGAAGTCCAACCTTCCAGCAATGAGCAGGGACATCTTCAACTTAAATCCAGGAGTAGTGATTTAAATAATTTGCTCACATCTCTTGAGTTTCTGAGTTCTCAGTCTTACCATTAAGAACTGCGTAGCACTGAATTTGAAAGGGTAGCATGTTCCTTCTCTACCATGTCTCTTGCTTTCCACTGCAGTATCACAGTCTTCCCTCTTAATCCACAAATCTGTCCTCAGCTGCAAAGCAGAAGCAGCAGGACTTTGAGTTGTGGTCTCAGGATTGGATGTCCAGGCCTAGTGTGATAGCATTGCACCAGAAGAGAACACTGGGCATTTACAGATTTCTTACAGGACAAGGCCCGTATGCTAAAAGCTTGTCTACTACCTAAAAAGCATCGTTAGCACATACAGTTAAAGGACAAACTCCTTTGTTTTGGAATATATGTCAGTAGCCCTTGTCAAATGGCTGAAAACTTACATTCAGGCATTACTTCAGGCAATCTTGAACCTAAATATCTGTTAATGTCTTGCCTTGCTTCAAGTTTGTTCTCTTCCAGTAGAGAAATCTTGGCTGGTTTTATTTCTGTTCCATTCCCCTAAGAGCCAGCTGCCACCGGTTTCCAGTGCTTAGACTGTTACTATCAGCAAGCAAAAGATACAAGAAAAAAATGCTTAGTTTGCTTAGTAATTGCTTCCCAAGCAACTACATCAAAATGCAGCAATCTGGGAAAACAGAAAGGCTGTTTTGAATATGCCTATTCCTACTCGCAAGAATTTGAAATTTTAGCAGACATCTGAAAAGGGCAGGGTAATGGGCAGGAGCAATCTTTCCAATAAAAACTGTTACGAAAAAAGCAAAGCAATTCCAAAACATGACCTAGGGCCCAACTTGCTTGAAACCTTCCTGGGAAAAGCAAGAAGTCCAAATATTATCAAAAATCATGCATTCATCTATTCTTATCTAATCTCCACTGCTTTTGTGGAGAGAAGAAATGAACAATACCAGAAAGGTTTCTGCCAAGTTTTCTGTTCCGTGGTTTCTGTCCTTCTCGGATGATTTTCCCTGTCCTCTGAGGTCTTTTGGTGGAATGCATGAGTGCCTTTCCATGGGTACGGAGAGGTGGGTATGAAGAAATAAGGTTTGAAAGCTAGAAGCAAAGTGACAGCATTGTTGTAAACCTGACAGAATTAACATACTACATAGCTGGAAAAATGACAGATGTTTTCAAGTGTATGAACTCTCCTGTCATCTTCAGCAGGGAGAAACAAGCCTGAACTTATTTCTGTAGTGGTTAACTGAATGGTCATCTGATTATTTTATCTTGTAAAAAAGATCTTCTATAACAAAGAGCTTGTATGCGTACAACTTGCCCTCTTATTTCCCGGCTTTATCAATAGAACATACTTCTTTCAGCAGACCTTGCCAGGGTTATGAGGGACATGAAAGGGGAAATCTAGTGTTACTGGCAGGACCAGTGCTTTACATTTTAACTAGAAGTTTTTATAAGTCGGGGGACGGGGCTATGTGGTTTTATTTTTTAATGTTGTTATTCTTTATGTTGGAAGGTCCCATCATTCTGTAATGATGTTGATGATATTGACTGCAGATTGGAAGATCAGACACAGAAACATTGCTTGGAATATAATTACGATTACGAAAATGGATTTGCCATTGGTAATTATTGATTGCATAGATTTTTAGCCATCCATGTTTAACGCAGCATCATTCCTTTTGTAATGAAGTATGCAAGTGTTGTGTGAGATATTTTTTAAAAATAACTATAGAGGTCTTAAGATAGTGAGCAATTATGTAATAGTTTTTATAACATTATTATGGAACTATTCACTCTGGTTTTGACACTGCTTTCTATATAGTGTAGAGGAAAAGTTTACTGAAATGCCTCATGAGGAGGAGGGGAAAAAGGTACACACACATGCAGAGTCCTACAAACCTGCTTGGTTAGCCTGGAAGAAAGCAACTTTTAAAAAACGTACAGTTTCAAAACAAAATACTGAAAAAATACAATAGATGGTTCTGGAGATTATTAAGAAAATGAGGAGCATCCTTGATGCTGGTTCAGATCAGCATAGAACCCTCACAGTGTAAAGCTGTGCGAGCTTAAGCTTGCTTATTAGCTGAGAAATGACTTCCTGTCTACAAGGGCAAATTTTGAAGGATGGCTGTAGCCATCAAAGTTGTGACAGTCCTAGTGATTGTTCCCACTTCACTTTATGCCAAGTAAGTTGTCATTTTCAGTCCATTTTTGAACAGTATAGTGTCCATGTTGTACTGCTGTTGTCCTTGGCATTTCCGAGTCCCATGGGGGTGAGGCTAAAACCAGGTAACTTACATTGCCTATCTTAACAGGAGGCATTTTGGCAGATCAGCATCAGAATATACACTCTGTCATAGGACTGTGGGTCTTTTGCAGGTTTGTAGTGGAGTTACTTGGTAGAGCTTCCTGCTTATTCTCACCTTTTAGACGTGCTTCACTGAGCTTGAGAGCACATTTGCTTGCCATCAGGCACGGGGGCCTGGGTGTTCAGTTTGTAGTTGTCATCAGGGTAAGGATGAACATTGATGACATTGATGGTAGCTGGACCTAACTTGTAAAGGTACTTGGAGGAAGCAGTGTTGAGGACATGGCGTGTAGGGTCCTAGTCTCTTCTGGTTCATGTCAACCTCTTACCAGAATAACCTTGTTGCTGTTTTTCTGGAGTTTCTCATGATTTTACATTGTGGAGGCAGGAGAGGAGAACTCTCGTCTCAGGTCATAAGAGACAGCAGTTTAAAAAATTAGTTGTGGAATACTCAGTATTAACCACAAAGCTGAGGGGTTAACTTTTCCTAGTTTCCACTGTAAATTAAGCATAACCCAGGTGACTGCTAACAGGTGATTGGCAGAAATTTTTTTTATCTTAATATTTTTTTTAAAAAAGGTAGATCAATGAAATTGACCGTACACCTCTAGATTTAGTCATTATGAAAATGTAGATTATGTAGAGAAATAATTGTTTAATTGTTTCTGTTGAAAGCATGTTGTAGGTGAAGGATGTTACACAGGGGGTGAATTTGGCTCACTGTGTGTAACAGGAAATGCCGGTCTGGCGGGGAATAAGCACATAAGGTAATGCTACCAGCAGACAATGATAGAACTGTTCAGGGGTTGTGAGAAGAAGATGCAATGGAGACATGTGGCACAGGCCATGTTGTCTTTAATTAAGCAGGAAGAGGAAGAGAAAGCAATATGGAACTGTTTAAGAAGATGTTGTTGGCAGGTGAGGGTCCTTGCAATACAGGGGAAGAGAAAGAATTGCAACCTGTAAATTTTATAGCACTGTTTCTTTAAATCTTTGGCTAACTGCGCAAGATTCAGGATCTCTAGGATACCAGTTAGGAATGAGGCTGGTTTTTGCTTTTTCTTTAGTCAAAACGCTGGTACAATAGGCACCTGTGCAGAGGTAAAGCCAGCACACATCATCTGGAGCTTCAAACAGAGCCCATTCCATTGGGGATGTATTTTAGAAGTAAGTACAGGCACTTCTTTTCCATGTGATATTGCTTGTCTTTTTGTTCTTTCTCTGCCGTACAGGACCTGCTGGCTGGGGGGCAGGAAACCAGCTGGAATATTCCTATGATGATTTTGTTGATGCAGCACAAGAAGAAGACTTATCCAAGCATCTCTCTGCCTCCGTAAAGGCAGCACCTGCTCGAGTCAAAAGGCATAAGCTGAACGTTCCAATGACTGACCACAAAATCAAGTTAATATTTAACATCACAGGTGAGAGAAGTCAAAATACCATCCTTCTCCTACTTCCTCTTTTTAAAAAACATGTTTCTAATACATTCTGATGTATTAGAAAGTAAGTAAAGAAAGTCTAAGTAAAACTTAGCCTTCAGTTCACAAAGCCTGTTGGAGATTTAGATGACGGTTTTCTGCAGACGTTCGTAGCCCCATTTCCTCACAGACTTTCTGCTTGGCGGAACACCACAGCCTCATGTTCATTGGGAGCGTTGTGCACATGGCCTCCTTTCCACTCCCCACTGGCAAGCTTGCTTGTTGCGCTCTTGGTATGCTCCAGAGTACGCTGGAAATGCTGTCTCTGAAGTCTGTGCTTTTTGTGTTCTCTGTTCATATCCCAGCTAGCGTGCCACTGCCTGATGAAAGGAATGATACACTGGAACTGGAGAACCAGCGACGGCTCCTGAAAACTCTGGAGATGATCACGAACAGGCTGAATAGGACTCTCAATAAGGAGCCCATGTATTCTTTTCAGTTTGCATCCGAACTCATAGTAGCGGACAGCAACTCACTGGAGACCGAGAAGGCCTTTCTTTTCTGCAGGCCTGGTTCTGTGCTGAGGGGGAGAATGTGTGGTAAGCCAGATGACTTGCTCCTTACATGTATTTAGAATCCTTTTGAAAAACAAGGTTTTAGAGGATGTTTGCAGAGGGTTATGGTTTGACACAGTCCAGTGCTCGTGGTGTCCCAGAACAATAAACTGCAAAAATGCTTTGCACAGTTTGACTTCCAGAGGATGTTTATGTTCCTAACCAAGATCCATGGAAAAAGGACACTTTTGTACCCAGGATTCCACTCCCACGGGGAAATCAGGCATATCCACACTTAGTGATACACAGGAAAATAGTGTTTGGTATGCAGTCTTTTAACCCTATTAGTCTTGTGGGTGATGTGTAGCTTAGATAGGGAACTGGATTCCATTTCCTGTGAGATATTTGCAGTGTTCCAGAGAGATGCCCCATTTGCTGAGGAAGAGAGGCATGTTTCGGATAAACAGGGTTTGCCTAAATGGGAATTCCAGAGGCAAGACAAGTATTTATGATTGTGGACTCTGAGGGGAACCTTATGTTTCCAACGTTACAGTCAACTGCCCTTTGGGTACCTATTACTCCCTGGAGCATCATACCTGTGAAAGCTGCTGGACTGGATCCTACCAAGATGAGGAAGGGCAGCTGGAATGCAAAAGTTGTCCATCTGGTAGCTATACAGAGTATCTGCACTCTAGGAGCATCTCTGAATGCAAAGGTGAGAACTTTGTCTTCTTCAGACAGCCACTTCTGAATGCCTGGTGGCATCCTTTTGGTCCCCATGGTGGGATTACTGGAATGAGGTTAGCCTGTGAAATGAGGAGCCGTCCTAAATGCCCCTTGATGCGTATGTAAAGAGAAAAATAGAGATTTTCACCACTGCTATGGCAGGCAGGATGTCTGGGCAGATGTTTTAAGTGTTTCATTTCTGACTTCGTTCCGTGAGATTATGAACCCATTTTGCAGGGACTAATACACTTAAAATAATTCCATTCTTGTCTTTGCCAGGCCCTCTCCATCATACCATGATCGAAGATAAAATGTCTGCATCCTACACTACAGTGCCATGGCACTGAGCACTTCAGCACTGCTATCTCTTTGTGACTTGTTCTGAAAAAGAAATTGCTAGTTTTATTTCCTGTTTATTGTCTTATCCTTAATTTTGTTGATTAAAAATGAGTGACTGAGTTGCAATAAATTATCTGTGAAGCTGATTGGAAGAGAATTACCTGGTTAATAATTCACAAATGCACTATCAGTAGCTTACCACAATTCCTTTTTTTTGCTCTTTGTACCGATGAAGTCCTTCAGAGTAGAGTAAGCTCTAGAAATAAAAGTCCCTGTGACATGTATTGTGATTTCAGCATTATTTTCAGAGGTCAGGAGCAATGTTTCCTGTTGGACATTGCTTAATCTTTATAAATTCTTACTGCCTTACAGCTCAGTGCAAACAGGGAACATATTCATCTAATGGTCTTGAGACCTGTGAAACATGTCCTCTTGGCACATATCAACCAGCATTTGGATCCAGGAATTGCATCTCTTGCCCAGAAAATACATCAACGGTAAAAAGAGGCGCAGTGGATGTCTCAGCTTGTGGAGGTTTGTAACAAAAGAGGCTATGAAATTTTTTAAATCAAATTCTAAAAATTTCTAAATGTTGTTTAAACATCAGCTATTGTAATCCAATTCATCTGCCTGAGATTGACTTCAGCTTCTGGTTAAGTGTGGATGAAGCAGCATTTCCCAGCAAAATTATAGGTCATTTCCTTATACCCTGATTATTTCAAATGCCTGCCTTCTGATTTCCCAGATTGATTCTTATCTAAAGATTAATAAAATGAGATATGTGATTGGTACCTACATGAAAATAAAACCTTTTTCCTTTCAGAAGAGAAACGGAACGACAGGATGTTTGTCACTATTATCTCCGGAACAGCTCCCGCATCTTCTATACAAAAATACTGAATTTTAACACAGCTTGTTCCATAACTTTTTTTCAAGAAATTGTCCTCAACTGTCTTTGGGAAGCTTTGCGAGAAGGATTCCCAGGGGAAATAGTTTTCAGGGATTAATGGTACAAAAAAAGTCTTGTCTTTTGTCCTTACTCCTTCTTGAGGAGGAAAAAAACAAAAACAAAAAGAGGTAGGAGAGGTAAAAGGGAAAGGAAGTTGCATTTGAAAGGTGCCCCCAGAGCAGCAAAAGGAATAGATAAAAATACTTCCCCAATATTTGTGTAGTCCTTTGAGAACCACAGGTCACCTAAAAGCACAATTTAGATAAGTATCTCCTAGAGTTGTGAGTTCCTGGCAGGTTTCATCCTATTTAAGTCTGAGGAAGGACTATGAGGAGAGGAGAAAAAATGATCAGGAAGAGGTGGAGGACGGTAGGGTGGGTGTGCAAGTGATCACTCAAAAAATATCCTTTTTTTCTTGCAGTACCATGTCTTGCAGGTGAGTTTTCTCGCACAGGTTTGACACCTTGCTACCCTTGTCCCAGAGACTACTATCAACCAGACCCGGGAAAGTCCTACTGCTTGTCTTGTCCCTTTTATGGAACAACAACTGTCATTGGTGCCAGATCCATCACAGATTGTTCAAGTAAGCCAAATTATCTCTGCTGCAGAAAGTGAATAAAGGGAACATCTAAAGGATGGGCAGCCGTAGCCTTGACGGAAAACATCCCACTTACTCTCCTAACAAACGTAGACCTTCCATTTCAGCCAACGAAGTTCACAGCTGGCTTTGCCTACTTGTGTTGCCTGTGTTACGTAGGAGTGACTGTGATACATACCAAGGCTCAGTAATAGAGTATACACATACAGAGTATATATACATACACACACACATTGTATATGTATACTATATATACACTATAAAGAGTGTTTTATATATATACACAAATATATATATGTATGTATGTGTGTATAAATACATGTAAAATATATTTTAGATGTATACACACCTATATGTGTTTTAGAAATTTATGTGGTTACAAATACATATTTGTGTAAAATATATGTAAAACACTATGTGGTTACTGTAAAGTTCGCTTTTTATATCCACAAATTCACTTTTTTCAGCATACCTTTAGCTGCATTACTAACAGGCAATTATTATGCCCTCATGGAATAGGGGCCATGCCATACAGTGTTATTAACAGCACTTTCATATCTTTCCTCTTTAGGTTTTGGCTCCACCTTTTCAGCAGCTGAGGAAAGTGTAATGATGGTACCAGCCTCCCCAGAAAATATCAGCAAGCAGTACAAAGTCAGCAGTCAGGCAAGGACAAGATATATTTTCCCGTGTTATCTCAAATGAAAGAAAGAGTGCCTTATGCAGCAGTAAATGACTAAAGCCTTTTTAAATGTAATTGTTATGCTGAGTGTATTTTCTGAAGAGATGAGAGCGATGGTCATGAGGGGAACACTTAAACTCCCTTTGTAATCATAGAAGCAGTTTCGCTGAACAAAGGAGGCTGCATCAGCCATTGTCAATCTTAAATTCGGGACTTGAATCCTTCACCTCATGTATGAAATATATATCACACTTACAAAAGAAATGTAAAGTCCATGGAGGAAGTTCAGCCAACCTCTAAAAAGTAGATTGACTACACTCTGTAATCTGATGTTTTCCATATGCTGAATTCCAGAAAATGCTACCAGGCATCTAAGTCCCAGTTGTAAAATCTTTGTTTTACTTATTGCAACATAGATACGTTTGAGAGGAGGCAAACAGAGCTCCCTTCTGCTGTGAGTACCCCCTTTGAAATACAGGCAAGTCCTCATGTGAAGCCACTCTAGTGAGGATGTTTGCCAGAGGGACCCCCTTGCCCCCACCATTCCCCCACCTCAGTCTGTAACTCTGGCAAGGCTGCTTTGTTTGCATCTAGAGTTAGGCTATTGTGTCAAAAGGAGCAAAGCTGACTGGTGATAAATTTGGCCTGAACCATTATGTAACATATGGACAGGTGACAAACTGATCTCTTGTCGTTTTGGTTGGCCATTTACTCAAGGACTTTGCTGAATTCAGGCTTGCTACATTAGAAAGAGTAACACCACACAGTGAAGTTCCCCACCAGTTCACCTGATGACTAGTAGCAGGAAGTGATTAACTGACGTAAAAGCACGCAAAGTAGAGAATTCTGATATAAAAGACAGCATAATATAAAATGTCACCTGTGAATCATAATTAAGAAAATTCTAAGGGGAACAACTGCGATGATCGCATTTTGCTAAGTAAAAGGTGATTTAAAAATAATAATAGTTCAGAGTCCTGGTATTTTTCTCTACAAAAGGGATGGTTGTTGTGCTGAGGAGACAGAGAGGAAGAGCTAGAAGTTAATGCCAGTGACTTTTTTTTCCCAGCTTTCCAAAGTGACTATAGGGTGTGCAGTTTAAAATTAGAGTATTTTGTGTAACCTGTATTTCCACCTTTACAGTAATTGTATCGTTCTTGCTTCTGGCAGGTCTTTCATGAGTGTTTCCTGGAACCGTGCCACAATAATGGGACGTGCAAACAATTGGGAAGTGGATATATTTGCATATGCCCACTTGGATATACAGGTGAATCAATGAGGAGAAGGTGGAGGAGCTAACATGTCTCCATGCCCTCAACATGAGCAAGCATAAAGGAGCAAAACATTGCAGTGCAAGAGTATGGCCTAAGTAACTGAAATATCTGTCACAGATTTACCATACATAAGTATTAAGAAAACAAATAGTTCCCCGTGTTCTTACTGAATTATATCTTGTTTAGCAGAAAAGGATTTTGAATGGGGTTTCTTTTAGTGGAGTTAGTGGATTTGAAAATCCTATCACTTGGCAATATTTATGATAAGCAAAAGCTGGAAATTTGCATTCTAAGCAGCTAGTTCCACTGGATCTGCCTGTATGCCTCTTCAGTGTTAGCTTTCCCATTGCTCCAAAGCAAACAGATGACTTGCTATTCAGCTATTATCAAGAAGTGATCTCTGTTATTGTGATAGGTACTAAGTGCCACTATCTGGAACTGATCAGTCTGTTGCCCGATGTGCATCCTACCTTTATAACATTTTTTCTCAGATCTGTGTTAAAACACAATCTAAAGAGAAGATAATAAACCTGGATGTCTGGTAATGGATGCAATTAATCAGTCATGTTTTCCTACATTAAGTAGTCATGACCTTTATGTTTCTGAACAATTTCAAATTTTGTCTCCCTGTTCTCAGTCCTTTATTTTGCATTCTAGGGTTGAAATGTGAAACAGAAGTGGATGAGTGTAAATCATCTCCTTGTCACAACAATGGAATGTGTAAAGATGGCACTGGGAGCTTTGTTTGCCATTGTCAACCAGGCTATACAGGTAATTTGTTTCACTTCATAGCTCTTCTTCAGACAGGCATTGTTTCTGTGCCATGCAGATAACGCAAAACACAGGGCTGTATAATTCCACATCTGTGGAATTATAACAGGAAATCAATCTGATCTACGTGTTAGAGTAAGGTTCTACTGTATGTGAATAGGTATTGAAATAAAAGTATGAGCATTCAAGGACAGTCTGTGTGCATGTGTGTGCATGTATGCTTCTGTTTTGTGACATTTCTGGTCTGAAAAAAAAGGAATTATGTTTAGGGCGTTATTATATACTCACAGGGAAAATGCTTGTGAGACTGCATATGCCCTGACCAGACAAAGTATTTATGCAGTTGCTTTACTCCAGCCCTATGAGTAAGTGAGCGGGCTTTTTCTTATCTTTTTTCTCAGTGTTTTTAACTCTCATCTGCATGCATGGTGAAGGTTTTGAAATCTGTGGGGAAACTGACATGCTTGAGAACTTTGCCAAAACAGCAACCAATTTCTAAGTATTGAAATGTTGAGGAGATAATTTTGCATGATTAAAAAGAGACCTGGTGGTTTCCACCTGAAATGATCTCCCTCATTTTTCATGTTTATGGCTATACATTTATTGACAGCAACAGTTGCTGGGTATTTTTTAAACTTTACAAAGACAAACAATGGACTTCACATCTTTCACATCCCAGCATCTAAATGACACAGATCATCTCTGTAGATGTTTGCAGTAGTGCAGTCAAACATGGAGTTTTATCACCTGACCTCAAACATGGAATTTTATCACCTGATCTCGGTAGCCTTTCATTATGCAAGCAGTGTGGTGCTGTTCTGTCTTCCACATTCAGTCACTGCAACATGCAGACCTTGAATATGTCTTGATCATGTCTTGTAACCCTTGCTGTTTGAAGGTCTCCTGTGTGAGGAAGACATAAATGAATGTAGCTCCAGTCCATGTTTGAATGGAGCCCACTGTGTTGATGGCAAGAACGGTTACCGCTGCACGTGTGCAAAAGGGTTCACAGGTACACCTTTTTCTGTTTTAAGTCAGCATTCACTCTTTTTGACCAAAAAAGATGTCTTCCTACCCTGTCCAAAGTATTTCAATCTCATTGCTATATATTACATATATTGTACGTTGATAGGGATGTACTAGATTCCCTAGGTCCATGTAATCTCTCAGAGCCCCTGTAGCGTAAGTGTGGCTTCAGAAGGATGTACTAAGTGATGAATCTTTTGTTCCTAGTTTTGCCATGAACTCACTGTGTGATGTTGAGGAAAGAATAAGGATATTCACATGGGTGCAAATTGTTATTTTTAATTTTATTTTAAAAAGAAAAATTTTATAACAGTAGGCAAGATGGTCTATATTAAAACTACTCCCCATCCCCATACACAGCTTTCTACTGCTTACACAGATTTCTGTAACAACTAGGGCATACCTGTTGATTATCATGTTGCCAAAGAGCTCCACTATAAAATCACACGCAGTTTCTTCATTCTTCGGTGCTTGTAACATAGAGCCTCTTTCACAGCAGAAATCCTGGAATCATGTGTTTCTGCCTTTCATGTTTCTCCTTAGAGTTAAGGTTCCAGCCAAATGTCTTTTGTAAGGAGCTTTTCATTATTTGCTCAGAATAGTTTCTCAAGTGATTTCCTGAATCAACCCAAATTATCACATAACGGGCAATATCCGAATATCCATTTAAATTCCCCCCAGTTTGCTGTTAATTTCTACAACTGCAAAGATGGTTCCTGTAATTCTTCTATGACCACTTAACCTTAATTAATGGAGTAAATCCCAAACCTGCATGGCTACCCTGGTGATTGCTGTTTCCCAGAAGATCAGCAACAGTCCTTAAAAAACAGAGATGGTTTAGTAATCTACTTTATTTTAGATTAATTTAGAGCAGAGCTGTGACTTTGTTCTTTTCTTCTCAGGTGCTCACTGTGAAACGGAGGTCAATGAATGCCTTTCAAACCCGTGTCTTAATAGGGCTGTTTGTGAAGATGGAGTTGGCAGTTTCTCCTGCAAGTGCCTCCCAGGTTTTACTGGTGTCTTGTGTGAAAGAAACATCGATGAGTGTCTCAGCAGACCCTGTAGGAATGGAGCTACCTGCAGAGATGGTATCAACAGCTTCAGGTGAAAAACAGATGATTGACAGTGTGGAAAGTCAGATATGTTGTGGTGCTTGCCTTTTAGCAAGGCATTTGGCAGCCTGATCCAATGTAAAAGACCCCCTTTATGGACACTAAAGGAGATTTTAAAAGGCAAGAAAATAAATTCTAGTGACCTCACTCTTAAAAAATCCCAAGGTAGACAGCAGAGAAAATATGCAGTTTGAAGTGTAAGCATGGTAGGACTGAATGGTTTTAATATTGATCTTCCAAAAGAAATCCACTTTCCCAAGCTTCAAGGGCTTGTCTTGCTTTGCACTAGAAGAATAGGTGATGACCAGTTATGTACCTGGTAATATTACATTTCTATACCCTGCAAGACGGGCATAGCTGTGCATACTGAGAATACAGAGATTAAAATACAAACACCAATGGAATCTTCCAAATATTTCTTTTTATGCTTTAGAGTATCTGAACTCGGAACAGAAGTTAGAAATACCAGTAGCGGTGTCATATCCTAGATCACTGTGGAGATAGAGAGATGGACCAACTGTTAATGTCTGGGTGTAATAACTCTTTGCCTCCCCAAAGCCCCAGAAGTTTTGATACCTTTCAAACACCTGGGGTTTCCAAGTACCAGAGGTTTTGGTGCCTTTCTACTGCCTTGGTTTACCCTCACTGTAAGCATATATGCTTGAAAAGTTGAGTACCTCTCATCTATAATTCTGTGGACTCTAGAAGGCATGTTTCACTCACAGGAATGCAATGATTGTCTCTTCTAAATTCATATGAAGAAATGCAGACACTGTTTTTAAATATTGTATTGTCCCTATCAAGAAGAAATACTATGCAGCTAATAGAATACAAGCATACTTGAACAACCAAAATAAAATTCCATTAATTTTGTAGGATCTCTTCTGTTGACTTTTTTTTCTTTTTTTTCCAGTATATTCCATTCCCATGGACAGACCTGCACTCATGGCCAAGATTCTTCTCATGACAGCAGCCCCCTTTGAAGTGTGTTTCTCTTTTCCTCTGTAGGTGTCTGTGTGTGACAGGGTACACAGGACTAAACTGTGAAGTGAACATCAATGACTGTGACTCCAGTCCCTGCTTAAACCAAGCCACCTGTGTGGATGCCTTGAACTCGTACGTTTGTAAATGTCCCCCTGGCTTTACAGGCAGCAGGTGTGAAACAGGTACACAGGACCAAGTGTCAGAAAAAGGTGGCTTGACTAAGTCTCTGGGCAAGATTTGCACTGGCTGGGCTGATTTCATACAGCTTCCCCAGAAAGCAGCTAGGGTGGTGGGTTGCTTAGAGGCTGAGTGGAGCCTGTGTGACTGGAGTGGTAATAAGTGTAATTGCAGACAAATAACAGCATGTGTGCAATGTCATATTTATATTCATGACTCTTTTCAAAGGCACAATTCTATCTTTTTAATACCTAGTAGGTCTATTGAGTTTAATTTGTATTTTCTCTGTGTATATAAGTTAATTGGCTCTTTCTGTTTCTTGTATTTCATGTAGGGCTTTGCATCACAGGGTTGGAGATGAGTATGTGGTAGTCACAGCTTTAGAAGTCCTAAAGGCATCAGGTTCCCTATGGTTGGGCAAAATAGGTCACACCTAGTGCAACTTCCTGGATGATGCTGGACGTAGGCCACGCAACCATGAGGCTGAAATCCATTTGCCTTTTAGCCACTCCATCAAAATTATAAAGTGTTACGCTAGTAGCTGGTGAATCTTTAAACAGAAGCTGAAGAGCCCATCTTGATTTTACAGAGACAGTAGAGGACATACAGGTCATTTAGACCTGCCATCCTGTGTTCGAGTGTAATAACACACAACTTTCAGGAGAACTCACAGTTCATTTACATGTAGTATCCTTATTGCTCTGCATTAAGAGAAGCACAGAAGTGCTGTTCTATACCACTGTGGTGCATTTCAGGCAGATGGATATGTCATTTCATTGATAGAGGACTGAGAAGCAAGGTTCATGTTCATTGTTTGTTAGATGATCAGCTGCTTCTCCAGTTGTTTGTTTTCAAACACTGTGTGTTTTCTAGCCTTGCAAAGTTCTGTATGCCAGCTGATGTTAGACTGCTATGCATTCTTTCTACCTCTGATAATTTAAAGTCAATAATTTTTTGTAGATGGGTTGCATTCCATTTTATTGCTTTTGCTTAGCTTCTATTTGATTCTCTTTTCTCATTTTCGGGAATGTAGCTCTGAAAACTCTTTGTCTTTGTTGCAGAACAGTCATCTGGTTTCAATCTTGATTTTGAAGTCTCTGGTATCTATGGATATGTCATGCTTGATGGTGTTTTTCCATCTCTTGGTGACATCACCTGTACATTCTGGATGAAATCCACTGACACCACAAACTATGGGACTCCCATTTCTTATGCAGTGGAGAATGGAAGTGATAACGCATTTCTTCTGACTGATTACAATGGGTAAATCAAATTCTGCTTTTCTGGAGCTTATCTCTTGAATTGATGAAGAAAGCATAGACCAGAAGTCTGAATATCAGTTTTGCCTTCTTTGGGGTAGGAAAATGTGCATTCAAATTCCGTAGCTGGAGTTGCCTCTTTGTTTTGTTTTTCTCCTTGGTTTGTTTCCTTTGGTTTTTGCCAAATAGCAGAGTAATGACAAGAAAGCAGTGAAGTTTAGAAAGCAGGATATTTTTGTCTGGACAACATTTACATCATATTTAAATGACACATTGAGACGATTGGATAAAATGGAGATCAGCACTCAGAGTACTTGTAGTGTGACTCCAAAAGCAGGGATGGACTCAAGGGATAAGTTTAAGAACCCACTATGCAGCCATCACTTGAGTCCTCATGCTTTGGTACAAAAGTATATTATTTATTTCACCACACTTTGCATATGATAACCGTAACTTCCAAGTCCTCTGAGAGAGAGAGGTGTTTTGTATGATGATCTTTCAAGAGAGGTTTCTTGTATGATGTAGACACAGTTACCTCCTTTGTCAAATTACATTTCTTTGAGTCATGTGGGACAGACCATGCATTTAGAGTTGCTGCATGCAACTGAGTATGCCTTCGCCTTCCTTCCATGCAGCTGGGTTCTTTATGTAAATGGGAAAGAGAGGATCACAGACTGTCCTTCCGTGAACGATGGTAACTGGCATCACATTGCAGTCACATGGACATGCACAGATGGGGCATGGAAAGTGTACATCGATGGAAAACTGTCTGATGGAGGCAGCGGGCTCTCTGTTGGCTCAAAAATCCCTGGTATGATTTATTTATATTACACCAGATCTGTTGCCTTCATTCTGGTTTTATTGCAGAATTTTCTATGCCTGCAAGGAAATGTTTATTTTGGTGGTTTTAGTATGTTTTCACATTTTCAACTTTTATGCAGGGCTCACATTTGCTATTCTTGTTCATGAGGACAGTTCCCTCAGCCTCGCTGCAGACAAAGAACACATTTCTAGGGTAAACTAGTAGGTAACTTGTTTTGGTGGGGACAGAGTTTAGTCCACAAAAGAGCTTGTGCTGAGCTGATTTGGGAATGGCTTTGTGAGAATATGTTTCTCACACAAAAAACTTAAATTTAACTCCATTTCCCTTACAATTGTGTGCTCAGAGTTGATTGAATTCTTCTCCTCCTTCTCCTCCTCTTCTTCTCCGTTACTTTCAGACATGTTTTTAAAGTTACATTTGTATGTTTTCCTAACAAGGTGGTTAGGAAACTACTTAATTGTTTCCTATGATCAGTGTTCTTTCCAGTAATATCAGAAAACATGAAAAGTAATACCTTCATCATTGAAGAGGTGTGAAAGGCCTGATGTTAGATTGCTGCAAAATGATTTGATTTTGGTAGTGTTTTCATATTGCTACCATCCAAATTTACATAGAGTTTCAAAAATCTATCCATATTTTAAAAAGGATTTAAAAAGTAAAGTATTTAATCTGTGTACCTTATGCTTGCCCCTGTCTTTCCCAGTTACACTGGAGTTATGTCCAGAGACAAGACCTAAGGAAGTGTGCGGTCTCCATTACTTTTTGCCCTTGTCCACACACTGTGTGGCATACAAAATGCATGTCCATGTCGTCTGTGCTACTGGCCAAGGAGAGGAAATTCAACTTGTATGACATGTCAGAATGTTGACTATCTAATCACCAATATGCTTCTGAGTGTTTGGAATCAAATTTGTCTATCTATCTGACTTTCTAAGCTTTTGTTTAGAGCAGGAAGTCCAAGCTAGCACTGTAAAAATGCCCCACCTGCTCAAAACCGCATTTTGCATTGCTCTGTAATATGCTTCAAATACTGAGACAGAAGTGGTCCCTTAGAGCCAATACCATTCCTGAAGCAGCCATGTAAAGTTTCTGCTCTGATCAGCATGAGTTTAGCCTTAATACATATTTGAGAGTCACTTCCAAATTGTTATGCTCAGTTAACCTCAGTCTAGCATAAGGTTTCCCAGTGGTTTGCTGAGAGAATTTGGTGAAGGTGGCTAGTCTCCTGCACTACAAAATCTTAGTAACACAGGGTGGCAAAGTTTTGTTTTGCTTAGTTTTCAGTCTTCCTATGGGGATCCCTGCTGTAAGGCTTTGTTTCCTATCCCTGTTCTAATTCTCTCTGAGTTTAGGTGGTGGTGCACTTGTACTGGGTCAAGAGCAAGATCAGAAAGGAGAAGGATTCAACCCAGCTGAATCTTTTGTGGGCTCCATCAGCCAGCTCAACATTTGGGACCATGTCCTGTCTCCACAGCAGGTACGTCCTTACTGCAGTGTTTGAGCATAGGGCTCTGAGTGTAGGATGAACATTTGAAAAGCCATTTAAAGTTAGCACATTGGATAGACCTCTGTTCCCACAGAATTCACTGCGAACCAGATGAAGCTCTGGCTTAAGGTAATAAGTTTAGCATGGTAAGCAGAGTAGCTTTAAGCAAAACTAGCTGGGTTAAAATCACCACTGAGTCACCTATTTTAACTGAGCCTTTCTGTATTTTGTAGCCTTGAAAGAGAAATGAAGGCAAACACAAAAGCTAGCAGTCCCATTAGAAGTGGGAGAAAACCCAAAGAAATGAGCTCAGGGCTTGTTTTACAGCTTACAGTTCCTTCATGCTGCTGTGTGAAGGCACCGGCAAAACTTCAGAGGGGAGGCATCAGAATTTCTGTCAATGCATTAGACACTATGAAAAATCGGAACTATGTAGTCCCAGGAAAAGTCTGAATGGGCAGCATAACTGAATATTAGGTACCAAAAATAAAAGTTTGGCACTAAACTTTCACAGAGTTAAAAAATTAATGTAGATCAAAAGATGCCTCCAAGGGCAGTGGTCACGCAAATTCTCTGGGAGACAAGCTTCAGTGGTCAGTTATCCTCAGAGTGAATTTTTTTTCTTTATATCTAGTTGGGACCTCCCACTTCTGTTTATGACTACTATTTCTGTCTCCTACCATGCACTGCTGTGAAGAGCCTGATTCTATATACTTGATTACCTCCCCATAGGTACCAGAGCTGCTATTAGGTGTCCCCAAAGCTGTCTCTGCTCCAGGCTGAACCAGCCTTGGTCCCACAGCCTCTTCTCACGGGGCAAATCACCTTTTTGTTGCCCTGCCCTGAACTTGCTGAACTTGCTTGTCAATGCCTTTCTTGTACTGAGGAGCCTAAAATGGAATGCAGTACTCCAGATGTGGTCTAATCAGCACTGAGAAGAGGGAATAATCCCTTCCTTGGTTTTCTGGTTGTGACCCTATCCGCACAGCCAAGGATGCTGTTGGTCCTCATTATTGCCAGAGCGCACTGCTGGCCGATACTCAGCCTGCCAGAGCCCCTAGGTCCTTTTCCACAGAGCTGCTCCCTCTCCAGCCTGTATTATCATTCTAAGGTTTTTCCTTCCCATTTGTTCGTGTTGAATTTCATGAGATCTGTGTTGGCCCATTCCTTCAGCCTGCTGAGGTCCCTATGGATGCAGCTCTGTCCTTGACCATACGGACTGGGCCTCCCTGTTGATCTTATCTGCAAACCTGATGATGGTGTGCTCCATCACCACTTCCTGGTCATTAGTATTTCAGTCCTGAAGGTCAGAAACTATGAAACTCTTGGTAACACTTGAAGAGCAAGGACTAATGTTCTAAGTTAGAGGCATTTGTTAGGGGAAGGGTCTTTGGATTAAAAGGTTTTGCTCTTCTTCTGGTGTTTTTTAATGTTTTACCACTATTTGGAAGTTTATCACTGTTTGTTATCCATGACTGAAATAAGAAATAATAAAATGAGCAGAAAATAGAAGTAAAGCAGAATCTTTGCTTCTGGCATCCAAGTGTCTCCTCTGCTTCTTTCTCCTTTTCTTTGCTACTTTGGCTTTCTGCTAGGTTCAGAACTGCCCAGCAATCTGCTACCATTCTAGGCATTTGGGGTCCCCAATTGTTGCATTGCCAAGTCAAGTCTTCAGGTTTTTGTTCACTAGTAGTTTTGAAGCTGATAAGTATACATGTGATTTTATAGGACACATTGATGAAAAGGTTAAGTGCAATTTTCTGAGTCTTTCTCAGTAGTCGCCTGTCTTTAATGACAAGCTTAAATTCCCGTTTGCTTCAAATGGAATACAGTTAAGATGAGGAAGAAAATCCTGTCCTTCATTTATGGTATCCATATTACTCATCTGAAAAGACAGATGTGAGACTAGACAGGGAACTGAGCCAAGTAAGCTTTCTATAAAATTTTTACCTTATTCATTTCAGAGCTTGGGATAGTAAATCACTATTGCTATCTGTTGTTATGTGTTTTGTTGTGACCAGCTGGAACTCTTCAGTTAGTCTTACCTTCCTATTTTCAGCCATAAAGGAAAGCAGGGTGATGGAATATGTTGCCCAGTGAATAACTTAAAGGCAAAGTCCACTCTTTTAAGATTTTTCCTCTGTATACTTCAGTTGCTCATCCACTTGCACATTGATTTGGTATAGGTAAACCAACAGTCTGGTTGTTTAGTTGCTGAGTAGACAGCAGTAGAAATATGAGTTGTTGTCGTGGTTTAGCCTCAGCCGGCAACTAAGCACCAGGCAGCCGCTCACTCGCCCCCACTCGATGGGGAGATGAGGGATGGAATCAGGAAAAATAACCTCATGGGCTGAGAAACAGTTTAATATGAAGCAGAGAAAGAAGAAATAATAATATTACTGATAAAGGAATATAAACAAAAACAAGTGATGCACGATGCAACAATTGCTCACCATCTGGTGATCGATAGCCTGTCCACAATCAGCGATTCCTGCCCCCAGCCAACTCCAGCTTTATATACTAAGCATGGCATCCTACAGTATGGAATATCCCTATGGCCAGCCTGTGTCAACTGTCCTGGCTGTGCCCCCTCCCAGCTTCTTGTGCACCTCCCCGCTGGCAGAGAAGGGGAAGCTGAAAAGTCCTTGACTGACTATAAGCACCACAACTACTTAGCAACAACTAAACCATCAGTGGGTTATCAACACACACTAAATCCAAAGCACATCACTATACCAGCTATTAGGCAGAAAATTCACTCTATCCCAGGTGAAATGAGGACAGTTGTCTATATGGGACTATGAGGTCCTTTCCAGCCCTCCATTGTCCATCATATGGCTCAGAAGGGCTGATTCCCAAACCTGCCTTGCCCACACTGGAAATTTTTCCCTGCAGACTCCTTGCAGTTTGTTTGCATCGCTTGGCTTAAGCAGTTTCCATCAGCACATACCACTGAAGTGAGGACTTTGGAAATGGCCTCAGAATAAACAGAGCAGGTTGCTCTCCAGCTAAGCTGACTCTAGAATGATCCACCTTACTGGAGTTCAGGGCAGGGGGAATGGGAGAATAATGCAGCCTGCAGTTCATGGTGTACCTTCCTTTCTCATAAAGACAGACAGTATAGCACATTATTCTTGGTAGTTGATTTCACAGAATCACAGAATCATTAAGGTTGAAAAGGACCTTCAAGATCATCAAGTCCAACCATCAACCCAACACCACCATACCCCCTAAACTACATCCCAAAGTGCCACATCCACACGTTTTTTGAATACTTCCAGAGATGGTGACTCTACCACCTCCCTGGGCAGCCTGTGCCAACGCTTGACCACTCTCTCAGTGAAGAAATTTTTCCTAATATCCAATCTGAACGTTCCCTGTCGCAACTTGAGGCCGTTTCCTCTTG